TTCATCCTCCCCCTCTTCCTCCTTCTCCTCCTTCCTTCCTCCTCTTCCTCCTCCCCCTCTTCCTCTTCTCCTTCTTCCCTCCTCTTCCTCCTCTCCCTCCTCCTCCACCTCCTCCTCTTTCCCTTTTTCCTCCTCCTCCCCCTCCTCTTTCTCCTCCCCTACCGCTCTTCCTCCCCCACTTCCTCTCCCTCCTCCTCCTCCTCCTCCTCCTCCTCCTCCTCCTCCTGTGCCCAGTGAAGGAAGGCAAAGAACAAGTGCCGCTGCATTTTGGAAGGGCTTCCTCTGCTTCACACGTGCACTCCCAGCAGTGTGGCTGGGTGTTCCTAAGGGCAGGTGAGAAGGACAGATACACAAAGTGAGGCGGAAGTGTACAACGGGAGACTCATCACCCTTAAAGAAAGGGAGTTCCGACCCATGCAGGACCATGGCTGAGCATGGAGAACACCTTGCTAAGTGAAAGAAGCCATCCACAGCCGCGGGGATCTGCACACACTCACCCAGGACAGCTAGAGGGGTGTGACTGGGAGGAGGAAAGCACTGACTGCCAGGGATGGAGAGCAGAGCTGTGTAATGGGGGTGAGCTTGGCTCGGAAGATGAAGTTCTGTAGTCAGCTGATGATGTGACTGTATTTAATGTATTCTTAATGCTCAGGATGATCATTGAGCATCACGCAATCTCACTGCCGTTTTTAACAGATCGTGGGATTGGGAGGGGTAACTGTGACCTGCGACCTCGGCTCTGGGGAGGGAGAAGCAGGGACACGGTGAGTGAGCGGGACTGGCTGGGACCCTCGCAATAAGTAAGTGAATAAAAGACGGACAACAAGTAGTCGGAACTCTCTCATTCCCGTCTCAGTGCTCCTCTGTGAGCTTCCAGGGCCGAAACTTCCTCCAGGCTGACCAGAAGCAGACAAATGGCCAGGCCGCGTACCACTCTTTTGTACTTTTTGGGGAGGACGGATGTAGGAGGACCAGTACTCCAGGTCCTTCTGGCTGTACAGCAAGTTCAAGGACACAGACGCTCACGGAGTGTTTCAGCCACTTCTGCCTTCCCACACAGGTAGATCCGTCCTCTGAGCTGCCGTGTGCAGTGGGGCCCCAGGACCAGCACTTCAGACTGTCTGCAACCCCAGCCCTGCTCTGCTTGACTCAGAAGTCCCCGGACGGTGCCTGGCACGCATTTGAACCCTCGCAAAGGGAGCGCTCAGCGTCCTGTCCCTGGGAGCAGGCACGGTGTCCCGCAGCAGGGGTTTAAGGCCGTCTCCGCCGAGGGTGGAGCCCGCGGCCCCGCCTCGCTCTCCTACCACAGGTAGCCCGCTGGGCAGGGCCGGGAACAAAGTCGGAGAGGCTGAGCCCCTGCTGGCCAGTCGCCGTCGGGAGCCCTGCAGCCGCCGCAATGGGTACGTGCCCGGGGCAGCGGGGTCCCGGGGCAGCGGGGTCAGGGTCGGGGGTCAGGGTCGCTGCTGTCGTGGGGCAGGGGACTGGCTGCGCTGGCGCCGGGGGCACACTGGACCCTGGAAACCTGGCGCAGGTCCTCGGTGGCCAGACGCCGGTTGGGGCGGTGGGCGCAGCAGCCCTGCCTTCTCCTCAGAGCTCGGGTCTGCTCGTGCCAAGTGGCCGGGGCTTTGGAGTTGGGCTGAGCCCCGCGCGATGGCAGGAGTGGGCGGTGCTGGGGGCCTCGGGGCGCCCTGGGGACCTTTGCTCGGCGCTCACCTCCAGCTGAGAGGGTGACCCTGGAATTCTGCTGGGAAGCCTGGCCCCAGGGTGAGGCAAGTCGCCTCCGTGGCCCCTCCAGGCTCTGCCAAGGTCCCCACATTTCAAAGGCACCAAACCCCGCAGCCGGAGTCGGGGCGGCTTCACAGGAGGCGGCTCTCGGTGACTTAGAGCCACAGGCCAGGCCGTGGGTCCCCTGAAGCGGGGCAGGAAGCCGGCTCCTCCCCAGCCCCGCTCCGGCCAGCCTCTGCCCCTCAGGCTGCCGCGGCAGCGGCTCCATCACGGTCTTCCTGCACGCTGGACCACAGGGGAGTTGCAGGGCGCAGCGAGGGGTGGGGCGCCTTTCATGTCATTTGAGACGGAGGGCACCAGAGTGCTCCCCAGCTTGTGAGGGGCGGTCGGGGTCCGCTCCCGGCTGCCGCGCTTGAAACCTTGCTGGGAGCCGAGCCGCTTGCAGGGGCTTGTCTTGGGCTGTGACGCCAGGCGCCCGCTGCCATAGGGGCGAGGTGGACAGCGCCGGTAGGAAGTCTCAGAGGCCTGGAAAGAACTTGGAAGCAGAGTGCGTGCTATTAACCAACTGGTCCTCGGCTGGAGTTTGCAGCTGTGGCAATTCAACCAGGGATCTGTATTCAGCCAGGGTTTGATTTGTGGTTCTCAGCTTTTCAATATCAAGAGCACGAGATGGAATAATAATTGAAAATTGGGTCAAAGTACAAAGAGGTTACAGTGCCTTGCCCTCTTGAAAATAATCGTGACAGATTGTGTCAAAATTGTTTCAGGTGCTGTGTGGTCGACCTTGACAGTAGGAAGGCTTGGTTAGAGAAACAAAAGGGCAGGAAGCAGTTCTTAGAGAAACCGGTGCCCTGAGCTGCCGGCTTCCTCCTGTGTGGCTCACACCAGTGCTCACCACCCCTGTAAACTTTGGCCATGGTGGCTGAGTAGGACTGAGAGGCTGCGCAGCTGTCTGGGATGTGCTGAGCCTGCCTCTGGAGCTGGATGACATCTTAGGCCTCGAACTCGTTTCTAAGCAGACATGAGCAGTCTCTTCCAGAGGCCAGTAGTGGTGACACCTGGCTCTGTCCTGTGGAAACAGACCCAGACACACTGTAAACATGTGGGTGGAGCCGTCCCGATGAAACCAGCTCCAAGGGTTGGCCCCACGTTCTGTGTGGTGTTCTTTTCATTTTAGTTAGCTTTTTAAAACGCCCCTTTTCATTTTCTTGTTGGATTCTATTGTTCATCCAGTACATGTGTGCGCGCACATCTCTTCCACCATTGTGGTTTTTGAGACACTCATATTCTGTGGCTCAGGATGGCCTGGACCTCAACAACAAAGCCCAGACTAGCCCCAAACACATAGCAATCCTCCTGCTTCAGCCTCTCAAGTGCTGGAGCCAACACACCTGACATTTAGATATGTTTGCCTGTACTCACAAAACAACCTCCACTTTTTTTAATCATTTAAAAACAACATCTGAGTCTTAGCTCCTGAGCTGGAAGCAGCTCTGTCTGCTGGCTGAAGGGGGCGTGTGAGAGGCCGGCTGTTTGCACACAATCCTCTACCTGGGCTGCCTGTCAGGTGTCAGGTGGGGAGAGGGCTCTCTGAACAACACAAACTTCCGGCTGGGGAGAAGCCTCAGGACACGAGGGCAGCCTCGGCCCCTTTGGGACGTGGAGACTTCCAGTCATCACTCCCTCCCACAGCTTAGCAAAGGGCTGTGCTGGGTGTGATGGTGATGTAAAACCCACCCCAGTCTCCTGTTCACTCACCCTAGATGCACGTTCCTGTCCCTAGAAGGAAGCTTCCTGGTTGTCTGAGAAGTCCGCTCCACCACACGCCTTCCTCAGGGCTCAGCCTTGTTTGTGCGTCTTAGGACTTTTTCAAGCCAGCCTCTCCTTGTAAAAGGATGAGCCGGCTTGCAGCTCTCCTACCTGGCCATTTGAAAGTCCTTCCTCGTTCTCTCCCACCCTGAAGCACTTGGCTTAACCAACATGCTGGGCAGAGGTGACAGGGAAGCTGGTACCCTGCTCTAGGCAGGCATGAGCAGCCGGCTGCAAGGCTGCAGCACAGGACAGAGACCTAGCCACTGTGACTGAACTCTCGCTGACAATTTCTAATTTTATCCCCTCCTCCTTTTTTTGAGACAGGGTCTCAGTTCAAATACTTTGTGTCTGAAACTGATCTAGAACTCCTTATTTATTTATTCACTTTTAATCCCCATTACGGCCCCCTCCTTCCTCTCCTCTTGGTCCCACCTTCCCTTCTCCTCAGATAAGGGGAACCCTCCCTCAATCCACTCCACCATATCAAGTCACATCAGGACTAAGCTCATCCTCTTCCATTGAGGCCCGACAAGGCAGCCCAGGTAGGGGAACGTGATCCAAAAGCAGGCTACAATGTTCATGGCAGAGACAGCCCCTGCTCCACTTGCTAGGAGACCCACATGAAGACCAAGCTGCCCATCAGCTGTGTGTGTGTAGAGGACCTTGGTCCAGCCCATGCTTGCTCTGTGGTTGGTGCTTCAGTCTCTGTGACCATGGTTGACTCTGCTGGTCTTCTTGTGAAGTTCTTGCCCTCCCCAGGTCCCTCTATCCTTTCCCCATTCTTCCACAAGACCCCCGAGCTCTGCCTCATGTTTGGCTGTGGGTCTCTGCATCTGTCTCCATCCCCTGCTATGTGAAGCCTCCTGCTTCCACTCCTCGAAGGCGGGGTCACAGGTGTACATCACCCATTGTACGTGCAAGAGCGAATGCAAGACTTAGTCCATGCTGAGCAAGCGCTCTCCCAACTGGGCCCCATCCATTGGCCTCTGTGGTTAGCACACGGGAGCTCACCTGGAGGAGCACCAGCCCTACGGCTGGCTCCAGGGGACTGGGGTGTGAGCCACGGGTGGGCATGTACAGGTGTTCTCAGGATGCCCTTGATGCTGGTCCCAGGACCATACTCAGAGAATGACGGCTGATGGTGACTCCAGACATTTGTCATGGACAGCACTCTCTTCTCCTTGACACTCACTGTGTCTAAATGCTGCTATTGTGTTTAGACATTAGACTGTGGTGACTGGCGATCATAGTCCAGCCTGCCCCTCAGTACATATGAGTCCACTGTGATGGGTAGATTTTTGGCAGTTTGAAAATGTCTGTAGCAGCAGGGCGAATCCAGATGAAGTGACAGTTGTCTGGGCTAGCAGAGTGGACCTAAAGACCCTGGCTTATACAGATGTTCACGTCCCATGGAAGGCCACAGTACAATCCCTTCTGGAAGAAAAAGCATGTCCTCAGGGCAGGAACCAAGATTCTTAGAATCATTTTCCTCCTCTTGGTTGCTGCTGAGAGAAATGAGACCACACTGAGCAGGCAGGGAAGATGAAGAGTCACGTTGTCTTGCTAAATCTTGGCTTTGCTGTCCCCCAAGCCTCCTGGTGCAAGAAAATCTCTTCTCATTTTCTCAGATTTTCTTTTGTCTAACTTTCCTTCTGCCCTCGAAATCTCATGCAGAGCCGAAAACAGGATGGTGCGTTTGGCTACTGCAGCTTCCAGGGAACTGTACCAGCAGAAGGGCATGCTGCCATTCTGCTCTCCAGGGAGAGCCCTTGGGACAGAATGGCCACATGCCGTGGAACCTTGAGTGGAGTCTGGGACTTCTCAGCCCTGCTGTCTCCAGGGCACAAGGACAAGTGGATTCTGTGCCTTGCAGGAGGGAAAGTGGGTAGGTGTCTCAGGTGAGCTGATAAGGAAATAAAAACAAGGGCGAGTCCTGAGGGCCATCTGCACATTCTTCCCCGGTGACAGAGAAGAACAGGGCCATGTTATCAGGAGCCAGTGACAATGACTGACTCAGAGAATCACGCAATGCTGAGGTTGCAACACGAGGAACCAGTGAATCTCTGTTTTGTAACTATGTCCCTTGGTTTACAGGCACAGCTGCTATGACAGAGCGAAAGCATATCTCACTAGTCAGAAATGCTATTGCTGACTGCAGAGACGCCCTAGCAGTAAAGAGCACTTGCTGCTCTTCCAGAGAACCCAAGTTTTGTTCCCAGCACCCACACTAGGTGTTTTACAACCATCTGTAATTTCACCATCTTCTAGTATCTATGGACACCTGCGCTCACACGGTTTACACACACATGAAAATGAAATCAATCTTTTTTAAAACAGAAGAAGAAAAGAAAGCACAGTGCTGAGAGGGAAGAGGGACTGCAGGAGGGGGGAGCTCTCCCCACAGCCTGCCTGTGGCTCGCCCACCAGAGGGCAGGAGCTCTCACTGCAGGGCAGGCTTTGGGCTTCGGTCCAGCAGATGTGTATAAATGTGGCCAAGAGCATTCCACTCACCAGGAGCTTTTGGTTCAAGGATCAGTTTCAGGATGAGAAAGGATGGAGTATTTTTAGATAAGAGGACCCATCCCACGCTGCGCCTTTTCTGTGACTCCTGTGACGAAAGCAGCACCGTGTTCTAAAACAACAGGAGTGTGTTCCTTACAGAACGGGAGCTGTGGGGGTCAAAGTCCAGGTGTGAGGACACAGGCTCTGTCTGAGGTCTCCAGGGGCTCTGGCCCTAGGTGTGAGGACCCAGGCTACTGGGAGATTCTGGAAAGCGCCATCTAGCCGCCCACACAATCCTAAGAAAGTGTGTTACAGCACAAACACATGGAATTGAGCTGTAATTCGCAGCGTCCTTTGGGGT